ATAGTTGACTGACTTTATTCAATAATTCGGTTTTTTTCTGGGTGCATTATAGGCCTTGTCCACGAATTCTATGGAGAATCTATAGACACTATAGAGAAATTCTATAGACATTCTATAGAAATTCGATATGCGACCTGTAGATATTTTATAGAAAATCTATAGCCAGCCTATAGATATTCTATAGAAAATCCATGGGCAGTCTATAAAAATTCTATAGCCAATCTATAAAAAAATCAACAGAAAATTTTGGCGAATGCGACAAGTTTCTCCCGAAAATTCCTCGACCCGTTCGATCTCACATGTATCGACTCCTGACGGATACACGTAAAATATAAAGAATGTATTTAATAACGAGAAAATTTCAGTATTTACATTTTATATTATGTCATTTACACTGCATGCACGAGTTGTACCTGGGACCTCTCGTTGTACATCTCATCTAGATAAAATTCTAAACATCTTTAAAACCACATTATTTTGTTCTTCGTTTCTTTGTACATTAAATGGGTAATAGGTACTTGTTGAACAATGTGTTATTCGGAGTACATTATATTTAATCATCAACGACTTTAGACTCGAAAATGCATTTATGACAAGACTTTTCTGCTCGGTATATGTGTTTTTTGTTTTGGTAAAGTCGTTGATCATGATTTGTCTTTTTTTTTTTTTCATTCACTGATTGAAGCCATCATGTTGATCACCAAAATTTTTCTCTTGAGAGCTGTAATTAACGTTGATGCTGGGATTTGTTGGGTCCTTTAGATCCGCCACTTGGCGTAGCGTTGATACTTAGGCTCGAGTTGTAGTGCTAACTCCTCTAAATCCTCGGTTGCTTGGTATTCATAGCCCCTACGGAGTTGTATTTCCTTCGGCTTTGTTGTATCCATTTGCTCCTCAATCTCCACTTCCTCTTCCTCACTCGACACTGTCAAATCCCCGAAAGAAACATTAATTCGTGTAATTCCAAGATTTCACACGTGGAGAAATCCACTGGAAAAATTTATACCTTCCCCAATAAATTCCATTGCAATTCTCTCCAACCAATTAGACTAATTTCTTAGAGAAAATTTAACAGATTTATTTTTTTGGCGTATAAATTTTATTTTATTGAGCAGTTTCAACTATAAAAAAGATGTTTTTATAGAAATTCAATGAAATTAGAAAAATGTGGTAGGTTTTTCTAGAAAATTTCTTACGTTAAAATGCAGTGAGAGAAAGAATCACCTAATTAAAAAAATAATTAAATGAAGTTTCAGTAGAAATTCGAAACGATGTCTTTCAGAAATCATTTTTACTCCAGATTTTTCTATTTTCCAAGAGAAGACTATTTTCAATCAGGAATTTTTTCTCTCGGCAAAAAAAAAACTCGAGGGGAGGGTGAGAATAACGCGAATTAAAAAAAATTCTTCAACTCCGCGAAAAAATTCCCGCCCTCCCCCCGACTTGGAAAGATTTTGTATTATGATACCAGAATTAGTCAAAGAAGTCAAGGGAACAGAGGACAAATGAAACAAAAAAATGTCAGGATTACTATCACTGAATGATTAAAACACCGTAAGGAATGGCCTCAGCGTCCACGAATTCGTCGGCCGATTCTTCTCAATACGAAATCCTTCCGTAATCGTAAGAAATTGTCATTCATTCTATTTACTCTGATTTCATACATCAAATTGATTTTGAACATTGAGCCAACATTGCGCCAACATTGGCCCAACACTGAACCAACGCTGTGCCAACATTGAACCAACATTGCGCCAAGGTTGAAGTAAAAGTGAATATTTCAAAAATGAGCAAATCACTCATCCTAAAATAAAGCCTTCACCAAATATTCTTTGAATTACCATCGAAAAACTAAAAAAAGCTGACACACACACATCCATACATACAACCATGATCCAAAATCATCATAGCCTTATAGCTGATCACGAAATCAGTCATCCCGCCACAAGAAATCGATAAATTTCGGACTTCACGAATACAACGTGTCCATTCGCAAGCAAAAAAGCCTACAAGCCGCTAAAAAAATAAAAATAAAAAAAACAAGCCAGTCACCACCTCGAGAAAGCCCATCCAAATTTTTTAAGAAAAACTCACCTGGTGCTGTTGCTGATCTGTTCCTCGCACTTAATTTTCCCAATGACCATCAAATCTCCACCGATCGCCCCCCGTCCAACGTCCTCCCCAATCCCAGACTCTCCATTATCAACAAAAACACTTGCTTTAATTAGAATAGTACCCCCGATGCCCTGATCAACCTCTGGAATGTCATAAAACTTGTCATCCTGATCCTTGAAGGCCACATTATCAGTCCTGATGCACACAGATGAGCATTCAGAATCAATTCCCGAGTCAAGACTCTCCTGAAAGCTGTCCCTCGCCTGTGGATTCTCCAAATTATCATCAGAAATCGATACATTAGCTTCTTCAATTCCCGAGTCCTGACTGTTCCTATGGACATTCCTCGATTTATCAATCAAAAGATTCGTCGGTGACCTCGACGCCTGATTATCCTCCTCCCCACATCCCTCCCCAATACTCTGAACACTCGACACCTTCAGCACAACATTATCCTGTCTCTCTCTCTCCTGATCATTAACCCCTGAACTACCAAAATCATCCACTGGCTCATCGAAATCGATGAAATTCTCACTGGCACTAACGGATTCGAGAATAAACGTCAGGACATCTCTGACGTCTTCCTCCAGACACTCAATCTTTTCGCCGTCTTCTCCTTCCCTTCCTGCCCCACCTTCCACTCCTTCTACTGCTTCCACTCCTTCCACTCCTTCCACTCCTTCCACTCCTTCCACTCCTTCCACTCCTTCCACTCCTTCCACTCCTTCCACCTCCCCCCCTTCGACCCCCTGATTCCCCCCACATTTATCATCCCCTGTACCCTCCACCTGATTACCCTGTACTTCACTCACCCCAACGCAACAATCATCCCCTAAATCACGAAAATCATCACCTCCACTCTCTAATTTATGTACATCAGTATCCTCCCCTCCAATAATCAATACAGTACTGTTCCTTAATCTACAACTGTTAATACTGTCCTCTGTACCATTATCACAAGTTATCATATCCCCATCGATCTCCCCGCACTCCCCAATCATAATCGAGTATTCGGATTTGTAAGTAACAGGTACACTAGTATCATCTCCACGTTTAACCACTTTATCAATATTTTGTGAACAATCGAGCTCATCGTCCTCGATAACACCCGACAGCCGTCTATCGACATCCTGATTATCACTCGTATCATTATCGATGCCCAATAGTTGATCAACACTGAGGGACTTGACAGGATCGCACATCGATGTTGTTGATGACTTTGAAGTGTCTGATATACTCCTCTGTAGGGGCTGTCGATCCCTCAAGTACTGGTGGAACCTGTCCCCCAGTGCCATCATGCTGTCCTGAATGTGCCTAACAGGTACCTCCGGTTTATCAGGAAAAGCGCTAAATAGGTTTCCGGGATTCTGAAAGAGACCGAGAAGTCTCTCCAAGCTCGATTGTTTAGGTACATCGATTATCTTTGGTTCCTCTGGCCTAGGCTCGAGGGTTAGTGTTTTATTTACAGTCGAATCGGTATCATCGATGACAACTGGTGATTTGTCCTCGACATCAGGTGGTTCAATGTCTGGTGTTGTGGGGAGTAATGTTGTAATTGTCTTGTCAACATCTACAGCACCAGAATCCGGTGTTGGGAGTCTTTCGTCTAGGCTGTCAGCGCTCGAAGAGCTCCCCAATCTCGAGTCATCTGATGACGATCTGAAGACACTGTCTGAATCATCTGAATCCACTCTGTCCGGCATTTCCACTCGGTAATTAAAGCCTATTGTGATGTTTGTACTGGCTGTTACGATATTTTTAACCGGTGGTATCGAACCCTCGACGACTGTCACGCGAAAACGCGATGTGCCACTTGTCGGTGGAAAGAAACACGGGGGTGAGGCTAGAGATGGTGGTGTTATTGGTGATGATGAGGCTGAGGAATTAGTTGAGCTTAGGGATGCCTCCGACACACGGGATACGACGAAACGACTTCGCGATGGACTTGGAATTGGACTTGCTACTGGGGATGGTATTGGTGATGGTGCTGGTGAACGCAGACGACCACCAGTTGTACGTTTTGGCTCTAGCATTGTGGTACGATTGTTTGGATCACCAGCACCTTGGGGTGCTGATGGGGAACGTGGCAGTGTCTGACAGGTCAGCGATATTTTACGGGAATTAACGCTTGACAGACGACTACGGTGTTGGGGACTACCTGATTCCTCTGTACTCGAGTCCGTCGATATTGGCTCGTCATTCCGAGCGCAGTAACTCCGGATTTCAGAGACTATTGACAAGTACGTTTCCATCATCGATGGCTGAAATCAACAGGCAACGCCACGGGATTAGAATCTTACCATCTATTTACTTTGATCAACAATGAGTCATTGAAAAGTTAACGAGTGATTTTACGGGTCTGTCGCCAAATTTGTGACGTATAGCTTGAAAAATTCATGTGATGATTTGTCATGTGACACGTCCTCTCATTTTTGGCATCCCTTTCGTGGCCAGGGGTCGGGCAAGATGAAACTGCTTCTTATTTTTTATTCGCACCAAGTTCTTAGAGGCTTTCAATTATTTGGGATTTTAGTCTAATGCGAAATCGCGTACCTTCGGTTACAAGGCCGTTTCAACATTTTTTGGGGAATCCTTTTGGAATCTTTTATTTTCACCACAGATTTCATGTTCTTTTACTTTATTGCAACTTGTTGAATAAATTTTCAAACTTGAATAAAAACCGGTGATTCAGTCTTTTGCCCGAAGTCCACGAAATTTTATAAAAAGGGAATTCCCCTGGTTTTGGCCTGGTCGGTAATTCAGTTGTTTACCCTCTGTTTCATTTTGCTCCACCCTTTTTCATTACTTGAACTATCCACGAATCACTGAATTTTGACTGAGTTTTAACTGAGTTTTGAGATTAAGATATAGTTTTAGGTGTCAAAGTGAAGATAATTACCGCTTTACTCCACGTCTTCTCGTCGAGATCAATTTGCGTGATGTTAACATTCTTCTTCATAGCTAAACACAGGAATGTCAAGCCCGTCAGTTGAATGTGATTATCCCTGAGGTCTATCCTCTGCAGGCTCTCATTTTTTCCGACAATCTCAGCCAGTGCCATTATTCCTTTGTTCATCAGCCCAGTCGCCTGAACCCCAAGCTGAAGTAATACTGTGTTATGCTTTAATGCTTCCTTGCAGATATCCAGAAAGTCATCGCTCAGTCCGTTGTGACCGATGTTCAGTGTCTCAAGACTTTTCGATTGTGCCTGGAGAATAAATTACGAATCAGACAGAAATTATCTCGAAATCTTACAGAATTTCATTTCCTAACAACTTCTTTGAGACTCTATGGTCTCTAGCTATTTTTATATCGAATGTAACATTTGATTTGAATTTTATTTCATGTAGAATATTTCGAGGTTTCCAATTGGTTTCCGAAAATTTTTTAATGATTATGAAATTGAAGGTTAAATAGAGATTAAAAGTGACGGTATCATGGAATTTCATCAGGACGAATGTAGATATTCTGATTGATTGAGAAAAAATGGAATCCGTCCGGTAGCTTTTGAGATCTTGAGGAGAAACGAAATTTATAAAAAAAACTATAGCTCAGGAATTATTGAACCGATCGTTTTCAAACAGCGCGCCAAAGCAAAAGTTAGTGATACCAATCATAAGTTGGAAGTTCAGATTTTTAGCGACAAATTCCATTGTATTTATATTGAATTGTCTAAAAATTCATCTTCAAAATTTCGAATTTACCGGAGATATGATCTAAAAACAATTTTTCGTGTTTCATAACATTCTAGATAATTTGCGATTGCAATTAGAGAATCAAAAAATCGGTCAAATACAAAACAAAGAGGATAAATTGTTGAAGAGTGGAAAATCCAGATATTGATTCCAGGCATTTGCCAAGTTGACAGAAAAATAATAAAAAATATGGAGCTCACCAGGCGTCATGATGGAAAAAGGAATATATTTGATAATCAATGACAATATAGAATCAAAATGAACTGTCAAATAGTACCGATAGTAAATTGTGGATTTTTCATTACATTTTTGTAAACCTGTCAGATCCCTTGGAATCAATATCTTTACCCTCCCACAATTTTTCCTACATTTTCTCATTTTTTTTATAATCATTAGAGTAAAAAAAAATCAAAATGTTCCTTTGCGCTTTGTCAGTCCCAATATTCGATGATAATATGATGATGATAATGATAATGATAATATTTATTACCTACATATTTATTTTCTAGAACTTGAAAAATGATTGACTTTATTTTTATTTTCTAATTAGTCAAGGGATTCTAATTACCATTATTCCTTCATTTATATCAAAGACTAGAGATCAAGGAAATTATAATTAGGATCAGGGGAAATTGTTTGGAATTGGAATGGATGGTGCGGTAAATTTGTGAGAAGTCAGAATGAAATTGATTTTTCTGTTGTGAGATCAGAATAAACTGACGTACAATTGTTTCGGCGAAATCTCCAGAGCAAATTTTCGATAGGTGATTGTTCCAGAGTATAAGTATCTTGAGCCCTCTACTGCCCTCATCCCTGGACTGATGGACGAGTCCATCGAGTATATTATGAACCCCTTGATCTTTAATGTCATTATTACTGACATCGAGAAGTTGCAGACAATTGTTGACCCTCAGGAGAGCTCCCAGCTGTATCGCGTCAGCCTGTGTAAGATTATTATCCGCCAAGTACAATTCCTTGAGGCCAGTATTCAATTTCAATGCAGCAACTGGAAACAAAGAAATAAGTGAAGTGTTTTGACTTTTTTTTATTTAATATTTACTAGTGTTTCTCTGTTAATCAACAATTTGCTTCCGAATGATTCAATGATACGTCGGTTTGACAACTGCAAAGACTCGATTTTTTTTTGAGCACAATTATTTTTAAAACTTCAAAATGTAATAAGAATTTCACTGAAATTTATATTTTTTGTTATAAAAGTCTGGCGAAAATCCAATTATTTATTTATTTTTTTTCTCCTTCATCCAAAAACTAGTTTAAGGCCCGACTGGACTATTTATCGAATGTCATCTTTTGTTTAAATTTTATCTTTTTAGCCTAAAATACATTAAAATTTGGGATCAAATTTGTGTTGCGAGAGCTACTCGAATGGTTATAAAAAAATAATGAAAAAAAAGAGGAAAAATTATTGAAGGGCGCTAAAGAGCGATATTGTTTAAAAGGGATCTACCAAGTTTACAAAAAAATAATAAAAATTACGCAGCTTACCATTGCTCTCCAGAAGATTGAGTGACAGCTAGATGCAATAGTAAGCTACGTATTTTTTATTATTTTTTAGCAAACTTGGTAAATCCCTTTTAAATAATATCGATCTTTAGCGCCCTTCAATAATTTTTCCTCTTTTTTTTCATTATTTTTTCATGTCCATTCAAGTGCTTCCCACAACACAAAATTGATCCCAAATTTTAATGTTTATTAGATTAAAAAGATGAAATTTAATCAAAAGTCGGCGTTTGATAGATAGTCCACCCGGGCCTTAACGTTTTTATTTAATTCGGATGATTTTATCATGGTGAGAACACTTTTTTCGAAGAGATCACCGGAAATGACATCTCAATGGCTGAGTCCTAAGAATTTTTCTCAAAAATTTTCCAAAATCGTTGTTAAACGATTATCTTCAATATAATAAAAAATGTTTAATCAACTATTTCATTTTTTTTAATCGTCAAAGGAGATCTGTCACCGATCTATTATGTCTACATTATAACGATCATAATCTTTAGTTTATCATATATTTTTAAATATAACATAATTCTTTTATTACGGAAAACGGATTTAAAAAATATATTTAAATATCGAAAAAATGATAAGAAATCGAGAAATGATCAGAAAAAATGTACTCCATCCGTTTTACGTTCTTGAAGATATTTCAAAAACAATGGGTCGCATCTGATGCCAGAATTAGTCATCGTGACACAAAAAATGAATATTTTGAATTTGAGGAATACAATGTCTTCATTCGGAAGCAAAAAAAAAAGAAGAAAACACTCAACACAACTATTCATCCTCACACTTTTGTTCTGTTAATACTTCTGGGGGATTACCTAGGATAACAAAAGCTTGTCCCGCGAGGCGACAATTCTCAACTTTGAGTATTTGCAAATGAGAGACTAATTGCAACGGTCGCCTGAGAATATTCATGTGCTGCTGGGTCAGTACAATGCCCTTAGCGTCCAATTGCTCCAGGCACAGGGTTTTTTTTATCATTTGTCCACACGCCTGCCAGCCACGTGTACCTATATTACCATTACTCGAGATGTCAACGTGTTTTGCTGATTCGTAGTACTCGATCATGTCGAATATTGTCTCCGCACTCTCGTCGGTGAGGCCCGATTTTTCAAGATCTATTTTACGAAATTGAAGCCTCTTGAACACCTCCTCCAGCGGCTCGCAGTTCTTCTTCTCCAGGACCCCTTCCTTCAGGCTGAAGTCCTCGCAACGGCCGTTTCGAATTTCTAAATTCTGGGGGAAGAATTTTTATAGATTTGTGCTATTATTTTTATTTTGGTTCACGGGATTTTTAATTGTGTAGCGAAGTGCTAAAGGTGATAAGAATTTTTTTGGTTTCGGTGAGAATTAATAGGTCTAGAACTAGTGGATAAATTGAATTGAAATCTCGGGGAATTTTGGTATTTGAAATTCATCACTTCTGGAATTAAATTTTTTATCTTTTTTATGAATAATGACTCGCAACAACAAATCCATTAGAAGTTCTAGAAGAATCTTCGGCTTTTCCCTAAATTCCCCTCATCCTTCTGATTTTAGAAGAAAACATCAAGAAACTTTTTTCCTCCAAAATTTAATCACCTCCAAAAACAGTCTTTTAACATTTCCCTCTAAAATCAATAGTTCCCGAGATAAATCAAAGATTCATGAAAAAAAAAAATTGAACCAATCAAATTCGACTTGGCCTGTTTTTCAGGGATATCTCTCCAACCGCTGGAGATACGGAAAAGTCCATGAGAACCTTTTTTGTAGCTACGAACCGCCTCCACAAAAAAGATCCTGACGAAAAAATCTGTATCTCACGCAGACCCCGAGATATTCAACCGAAACCAGTAAATCCTGTGCTACTGACAAAAACAATCATACAAACCAAATTGTTCTTATTAAACTTTACCACTTCGCTACCAAAATAATGGTTGATATTACCTCGAGCTGGTCTAAGACTTTTTTAAGAGGTTCGGCGCAATGACGCTGACAAGATTCTTTGTACGAAGATAGCAAAATGTCCCGGGTAAGATCCTCCGCTGTGCAAAAATGTACGGTACATATTCAAGTTTATGGAGAAAAAATCCATGAAATAAAGTGCAATTTTATTTCCAAATCGTTACAATCCTTCGCCTCCATCTCACATTTCCATTTTATTTCCATCTTAATCGAGTAAATGAGAGTGAATGACGGGTGGATACTGGATGATTAATGGGATAGACATGAAAATACAGCACTTAATGTCGGCCAAAAGTCGTATATTTCCTTTTATTGTTATATGATGCATTACAATAGTTTATCATTCTCCATCAGTATAAATAATATATCCAACGAGTGGAATATCACACAACACATCAGACTGAAAAACAAATCTAGTCTAGTATATCGTGACTCAGTCTTGATTAAACAATCGATGTACAGTTCTTAGTTCGAGATCATCGATAAGGAAGGTCATGAAGATTTCAATAAATAAATCATCCTCCAGGAGTGAAAAAAAAAAAGAGGTGGCATCGGTGGTAGTGATTTATCACGTTATCACTGAATAATCCTCCGAGCCAATAAGACAATTTATGTTTAGTCTGCTAATTTTTTTTTTCCCTAATTACTCTAATCACACTGATGCATCAAAATAACGAAAATAAAAAAAGCCCATGAAAAATCGTTGAAAAGGAAATAACCAAAACAATTGTACTCAATACAATTATATTTCTCTCTAGCTGTTGTTTCTTTCTTTCTTTTTTTTTTTCAAACGATTACAACACCACAGGGGTAATTCTTAACATACCGTTGCACTTAAAATTAGTATACAGTTCTGATTGTGAAATCTTTAGGACATCCGAGTGACTCGGGTCTATAAAAAACCTATGAAACCCAGTTAGCCATCAGGATTCAATTACCAAGGATATCCCAGGACAATTAATACAGTAATTATTCCACATTGTCAGAATAATTGGTATAATTATTGACAATTATTGATAATAGGTACAGTACAATATTTACGATGAGAGGACAGGTGATGTAAATGAAGTAATATTGAAAAATAAAATGACTCACCATGAACCCAGGGATTTGCTGGCTCTAGATATCCAGTGACGAGATCCTTGTCATCAGGAAAACTCACTCTCCTGTTATCTCTCCTTCTCCTTCCAGCCAGTGCACTTCGTATTCTTTTACCATCGATGATGACATAGTTGTGTCTAACACTCGTCAATGATTTATTCATTAATATATCATTCTCCTTACAACAATTACCCAAGGGCGACTTTGTTACGTCCGTATCTGGCTTTGTCACTGGTGTATCTGACGTATCCGTTGTTTTATTAGTAACAGTCGTTGTCAAAGTCGACGGGTAATCGTCTGCAGGACTTGGACACTCGCTCATCATGACTTATCCTCCTGATTTTATTGAAATACCTTACCCCCTGGATATTATCACTGACACCCAAATTTCGATAAATAATTTGATAACAAAAATCTGTCAATGGATCAATTACTCAATTTTGATTATTCACCCCAACCCCCCACCCTCACCCACCCACACCCTCCATTGATGGTTTTTTTTGGAATTTGTTGAGATATTGTTTCATTGTTCGTATTGTACTACCCTCTTTACTTTCCTGGTTCCATTGCTCGTTGATTTTCTCGATGGAGTTTATGACGGGGAGGGGGGCTTTATGGTCGAGGGTTATTCCGAGTCACCAGTGAGTTTTTATTTTTTATTAGCGGGGCATTTTGGAATTTTTTTTTTTAGGGGACTGCCCGCAATGGGGTTTCCGGGGAACTAGACACCCGACTACGAGTAGATTATGTGAAATACTACTCATTTACTAGTGCTACACCACTTTACCACTACCCGTGCTCTTTCTCACGGTCCGCCATCATTGTTGCCGTTGGATAAAGCTGAAGTACAAAGTTTGGGATGGACTTGCTGAGGGGGCAACGTAGGGGGCTACTTTGTCGATCAGAATTGGCGGGGAAAATCAAATCTGCGGGGTCGAATCTCATCTTTCTCAGACGGTATATATATACTTTCACCTTTTTATCACCTACTTTCTTTCTACTTATTTATATTTTGTGTAAACTCATAAATAATAAACATATTGGTTTATCTCTCTATCTTATTTTGTATGAGGTATTTCGAACACTTTTTCACCCGATCGCTTTCCATCTGGACAAAATTTTCCGTCCTTTTCTATGCCATGAGGAGCGTGTCACATTTTTTTTTTTCACATTTTTTTATTCAATCCAAAAAAGGTTTGAATTTTTCAATAACGTGGCTTTTTGATTTTCAAGTGGCCAGAGCTAAAAAAAATTTAAAAATTCAACTTTTGGTGCCTTTTTTTTAATTTGTGTTTTTGGATGAATTTTGAGGAAAGAATATAAAAAAAATTTAGGATGATAAAGTTTATGAAATTTTCGCTTCTTTCAAGGAGAAACTTCATTTTTGTTGACGCTCGAAGATTTCAAATGAACTGAAATAATTTTTATTCACGATATTAGTTTATACGAAAAAAATAAATAATTTAATCAATTATATTTTAGAATTTAATCAATGATATCTTATAATTGATTTACATATATAGATTATACTTGAAATAATTATAAAAATCTATTTTTCATCCGTGTTCAGCGAAAATCGACTATACTAGCCTCAAGTATTTTCTTTTGGGTGTTCAAGTCTAATCCGGAATTTCGAATTCACCGCAGGTGAAAGGGATTTTCTCGCATTTTCTGGAAAGTCTGTTAAGTCTCTTCGAAGATTTTGAGGGATTCTAGGAAGAATTTCGCTGGTCGTTTTAGGAATGTCTTTAATTTGCGATGAATCTGTACAGGTTTTTGAATTCTCGAAAGATTTATTCAATGTCCTTGAATCGTCTCAAAATTCATGGAAATTCTTTGATTTCCTATAAGATTTCCACAGATTTCCCGAGTTCTTTCAAAATTCAGTGTACATTCCTGTAAATTCCTGGAATTCCCAAAAAATTTCTCCGAATTCTTTGAATTTTTTCTTAATCCATAAAAATTCCGCGAATTTCCGTGTAACTTCGTTAATTTTTTCAAAGATCGACTAAATTTCTAGAGATTCCTGAAATTCTCTCTAAATTGACAGCGAATTCTTTGAATTTCCGAGCGATTTTCAAAAATTCTCTGTTCCCCAAATTTTTCAAAAAGTCCGTAAATTCCATAAAAACTCCGAAAATTCGTTTGAATTTCCCTCAAATACCTCGAGACTCCCTCGATGCTCCCAGAATTCACAAAAAACTTTTCAATTTCTAAAAAGTTCTGGAATTCCCTCCAAATGCCTAGGTTGCGCACGGGCATCTGCGCATCTCGCGATGTTCGAAGCGATTCGAAGCGGCAGTCGCCAGTAGAAATCGATTGACAGTTTGTTTATATCATTTCTACTCTTAGTAACATAAGACATTGTTGCTTGCCTCAAGGGGAAGAGACTTCAGACATTTTTACTGGGTGAGTCGATTTTTCAAATTTTTTCGTACCCGCGTTATCCATTTTTTCACCGGGTTTTGTTTACGTAATGGAAGCCAGGTTATGTTGACACCCGGATGTCATCTGATTGATAAGAATTTCGGTAAACCTGTGATAAGGGGAACAAGGGGATTAATTAATTTTATTAGACACGAGTTCAAGGTTGAGATAATTTTGAAATTATCTCCGTAGATTCTCCGATAATATTATTTGCAGTCTCAACCGCAACTTCCGGTATTGAATAAATTATAATTCAAGTGCAGTTTGAATTTTACAGAGAAAATGAATTCATAACGAAAATTCTCTTTTTCTTGTATTATTTATGTTTTTTAATTTTCGGAAAATCCATTAATTGCTAAATACCAAATTTATCTATTTATCTTTATTGACACATAAAAATATTGTAAATTGAGAATTAAATAATTATTAAACAATAATATTTAATAATTGTTCACGTTCTGATTATCGCAATTAACTGATTTTGAAAATGAAATTTGTGGAAATATTTGAGTAATTTATATTTTCCATAATTTTCCCAGTGGATTTCACTCGAAAGAAAAGACTTTTTTCCGAGTTTGAACAATTCCAATGATTTATTCATAAGAAACAAATGTTAATATCATTTAATTGAATTTGACAAATTCATCTAATCCAATACAATTGACAAATTTGATAATTGATAATCTTAATCTATGGTGAAAGGTACTTGAACATCTCGATCCCAATGAATTTATTCGTGATTAGCATTGTTAATTAGCAACAGGGGCAGTGCGTTGTTTAAAATTACTCCATAAATATCAACAATCAATTCTGTTTACGACTTATCACTGAGCAAATAATTAGCACTTAATGCTCGTTTTTTCGGTAACGAGGGCTTCTTCTTCTTTTTATTAGTGCGCGGACGAGTGCTCGTTGTTGGAACGTCTTCAGAGCTTGAGCTGTCGGTGAAATTTTCGACAGTCGGTTTATTTTTTATTTTCGCCACGTGAATAGTGGCCGTCGCAACAATTCCACTGCGTCGGAATTTCTTCTTAGGATCGGGTTTGGCCTTCTGGGGCTTCGGCAGTTTTCCCACTCCAAAAAGCTTCAGGGAATCCCCCGTTTCGGTGGCTGGCGCTGGCTGCTGGTCCTCCAGTGGATTCGAACCCGAAATCACGGCTTTCTGGCGTTTGAATCGAATTCTCTTCTTCCGCGGGTTCTTCTGGGACTCGTCCTCCGGATTTTCCTCACTCGCTTGACTCTTCGGGGCTCGAGCTGAGTTACGAGTGCTCTTCTTACTTTTTTTCGTGTCAGACTTGCCGGAGGAGTTCAGCGATTCCAATTTCTTCGAACAGGATCTGGAATTCAAGGATTCCAATCAATAAATATTTTAAATTGATCAGATTAATTGGTCAGTTGTCCTGTTGGCGTTTCACTTGTTAGAAATTTACTTGAGCAGTGCCTCGCTGTTCTTCTGACACATCAAGGCTAGTTGGGAAACTCCCCAGCTCAGTGGAGCCCTGAACTCATCATTATCCTGATTGCAATCGATATCAGAGACTCCAGTCCATATCTGTTGTCTCAAAGATGTCAATTTGATCTGGACGTCTTGGCTTCTAGGAAGTATTGGAGACAAATACCTCATGAATCTGTAGATAAAATCATTCATTCATCAGTCCATTACATAAAGCCCAAATATTTTTACTAATTAATAAGTTAATAAATAAATCAGACTGGATTAGTTAATATAGAAATTAGAGTATAGAAAAAATTCCAATAATCGAAAAACCTATCACTCGCCGAAAAATTTATGGTGAAACAACAATTCTAGATGATTCTTGCACTCGATACTCCACTCTCTTTCTACTTCATTAATTTTTTGTGATAATTCTACTGGAGATTAGAGAGTTGTAGAGATTCAGAGTTTTAGAAGAAAATGGAAGATCGTTAATGAGTAATTATTATTCTATTTTAGTTTTTTTTTATAGACTCGCTACCTAGGGGGCTGGGTGCCTCGTGTTCTCCGAGGAACTTTGCAGGTGATTTTCTCGCTGACAGACTCTTCGACGAAGGCCAGGGTGTGGGGTCTCAATAATGGAAGAGTCTCGGTCTCGTATTCCTTTTTTTCCACCTCGTATCGCTTTTCAATAGCTGAGTAAGTCTCTTTGAAACTCCTACGCAGGCTTGCGCTTTTCCTCGGATTTTCCAGTGGTGCTGTCATGTAATATTCATCAGCTGAATCTGTCAAGTCACAGCACATGTCGCTTCCCGGGTCAGTCGCTGGCAAATCCATCACAGACCGACGATTCTAAGTTTTCACAGAGATTTTTCAAGATCAGTACATGAGGAACTTCAAATAAATAAAAGAGTTCAACAATTTCGTTATCTGTTTTTGTAAATATCAATTAATCTCGAAAACTTTTGGATTTAGAGGAAATTGTCAGGGGACTTTTCTTTCCGAAATTTCATTGGCTACAAAAAAGTCCTTTGACGTTTTTATCTCAAATACATTGTTTACGTGAAACTGAGTAAAACAATTGAAAATTCCAGAAATCGTTCCCCTGATTTTTTCCATTTTTCAATTTCACGGAGGAATTGGAGGGAAATTAATAACATCCAGTGAATTCGGGAGAAGAGGAAGAAATAGAGAATAAATCTGAATATTTATCTCACGTAAATAAATATTTGGGGGGAATTTTTTAATGTATGACTCACTAGTAATTTTTGTCGTATGTTTCTGCTGTCTTCCATTTTCGTCTTTTTCCTAATTTTCCTCGGTTTATTTGAATTCCTGGATCTTGGCAGTTGTGGCGATGGTGGTGGTACTGACAGATAGTGAGATCGATAATCCCCTGAGGTTTCGGAATCCAATAAAATAGTCGCCTCACTCGTCCCTAATTTCATTTCCTCTGACGAACTATCTGACGTATCGCCCTCATCACTTTGATCCAAACAGAGCCATTAATTGGGTTTTCAGTGAGGTAACTCATTAATTAGTTTATAATTACCTTGAGTAATCAGTGAGATTTATGTTCGTGGGTTCGTCAGCACTAGATCCTTCTTTCATCAGGCGAACCAAAATTTTGTTACGCAATCTCTCCTGGAGACAAAAGCCAATGAACCACGTCATGAATTATTGATTATCTCGAGAACTATCGGTTCTACAAAAAATTGCTAAGGAACTTTTTTGTGACTAACGAAGTTCCGGATAAAAAAGTTCTCTGACATTTTCTTGTGAAATGGATAATTAAGAAGATAATGAATTATTTGGAAGAACATTTAGCGCAGCATTTCGTGAATGAATTTTTATAAACGTTTTTGTAAATCAGTTATTATCTAGCGAAATAATGATTGTGGAGGAAAATGTTTAGGGAACTTTTTGTCCGAAATTTTGGTAGGTAAAAAATACTTCTTGGGAATTTTTTCGTGAAATCGTTAGTTTTCAAGGTATTACGGATGAAAAGAGATGGCTATTTTCACCTTCGTTGGGTCATCGTCGGAGAAGTCGAGGAGAGTCTCACAAAATGCTTTGCCGATTTGCTCGTAATCTTGAGCGCAAAAATGGGTTCCATTTCTAGATCCTAATTTTGATCCACCCATCGATGCCTCCATGGTGTAGCTATTTTGCACACCCATGAGCCACACGACAACCCTACTGGTGCCTTCTTTCCCCTTTTCAATGTGGAATTTGCAATTCTCGAAGGAAAACTGAAATTTAAGTAATTCAAGAATTTAGGGGTGACCCAGGAAAATGGGACACTTGCGGAAAAGCTTTTTTAACTCCCAGTTAGTCCTTTTTTTCCCAAAAACTGTTGAAGACAGTCTGAAAATTCTGGAAAAACTGGAATAATTTCTTATGATTCTTATGATCGATTTTTTCCCCTTATTCATCCCATTCTACCCACAGTCTATTTTATCCCGTGTCCCCCCTATTTCTCTGATTTTTTTCCAATCTTTATCAATTTTAAATAGAAAGATTTTCCCCGCTGAATAAAAATTAAATGGCAATTTTCCCAAAAATTTTCCCAATTCCTCTGAATTTTCATTCATCAATTTCCACGAATATCTTTAAATCCAAAGGAAATACTCAAATTTTCCCCAAAACCTTTTCTGTAGACTGAAACAAGATCTACAAAAATTTTGATATCTCTCGCGCATTTAGAGATTAAATGAATTTATTACCAAAATTACAGAAATTTGGAACAATTCTCAAAATTTTCAGGATTTTTCCTCATTTTCACCGAATAATTACACAAAAAATGAAATATTTGTTGACTTCCAGGTCATTAGATCAGCAAAACAATGTAATATAATATTAAAATGCCTAGATTTCCTGAAATATTCATGAAATTTGAGGAATTTCTGGGATTCAGCCCTGAAAATTGAAATAAAAACTAAAAAAAAAATGCAGTGGACCTTGTCAGCAGCATTTTTGTGCAGCATCAGTGGAAAAATCTGCTCTGTGAGTTTTCCATAGCATCCAGCTCTCTTGCTCTCGCAGCCATAAATAAATATATTATGTTTCCTCGAATGTGCATGGAGATCGCAGTAAATAGCAATTCCACACTCTTCCATTAATCTCCTTATCATGAGTTTCGTGTGCCAAACGGAGGGATAACTCTCTCGCATAACAGTGCGATATTGACGATTCAGATCTTTTCCAGAGAGTGAACACCTGTTGTTACCGACAATTACTCCGTCTGGATTCAGCATCGGTACCAATTTGAATATGAATCTCTCCCGGAGTTCCTTAAAACCATCAAAAATCAATGCTCCACATAAAAATAAATAGAGAATCCTGAGATAAAACGAACATCCATTAAAAATTATTCCATTCTTGATTTTTATTTTTATTTGTCTATATCTATCGAACGTAATCCTTAGTTTAATTTTTATCTTGTAAGAATTTAATATTTTTAATATCTCGAAATTTGGATTTAGAATTCTATTCTGGAAACTATAATGGGTATAAAAAAATAACGATAAAAATAATAATAATTTTAATACTATAGAAATTAAACTATTTAATGCTCTAACAAAATTCAATTGAAGTAGAATATATCGTGACAGGCCCAGAATTTAAGGCTCGAGTGGATTATCTAGAAAAGATAATTTACTCCGAAATTCGGATTCCTAATTACGTTGGTAATTAATCGTCTTCTTCAATAATTGTTAGCTAGCGTTCTACCGGTTGTCAACAACTAGGCCGCTAGCTAACAATTATCGGAAAAAACTATTAATTGACGGAGTAATTAGAAGTTCCAATTTTGGAGTGAATTATCTTTTCCAGACAGTCCGAATTTTCGGTAATTTTTCTTGTATATCGATACAATAATTATTGTTATTATTCCCATCTTTCAATTGCCTCATTAGCGCATGGAAACAAATGTTTTAATTATCGTTTTTTTATTTTTTCAAGTATTTCATACCATTTTTTCTTCAATTATTGTCAAAAAGTGTTTTTTTGCAAAAATTCCAAAATTAAAAAAAAGTTAATAAATCAATTAAATTTTAATTAACATCGATGAAAAAATTATTTAATTTAACGGGTATGTATACACAGGTTTTCCGATTTTATGGATCATAAGGACTCGATTTTACAACAATTACAATAATTATAACAATTAAAATGCTCCGATCGGAAGTAAATAAAAAATCCAATGGTTATAAAAAAATGATAAAAAAGGGGAAAAATTGTTGGAGAGTAATAAATAGAGATATTAATTTCAAGTGATCAGCCCAGTTTACAGAAAAATAATTGGAAATCCCCGCAACAAGGCGATTATCATTTTAGATAGTAATCCTAGGGTCATTTTACCCTCCCCTATATAATTAATAACAGCAACAAAAGGTAATAATTCCCCACCCACTGGTATAACTATTACATTTTTTTCTTGAATATAAAATTGAAAAACCGATTTTTCACAAGAAAATTATTATTCCACTTCACCTTAACCCTTTCTTTCTCAAATAAAAAATAAAAAAATATAAAAATCCACAATCTACATAAAAAGTGGAATAAGAAATTGTCATTGTTATTGGAAAATTAATAGCTTTATGATATATTTGAAGAATAATTGGGAATAATTTCGTGTGAATGTTGACAATTTCGAGGGATTTTTTGATTTTTGAGACTCACTCGCGCCTGATTGGACTCGCCAGTGAGAAAATCGATGATTCCCTTCATCATCCAGCTTGAGGGTGTCTCCCCAGGGTGAACCCTTGCTGTTATGACGATTCCTTTTTTCTTTCGGCCCTCGTCGTTGTAATTTGGGGCTGTTATCGTCAAATAGTGGACACTATTTCCAGCTAATGTTCGACAGAGCAGTCGTAATTTCGTGAAACGAGACTTTACGGGATCGCTGGATATTCTTGTTAGATATTCCTGAAATTTAAGTTGGACGTGTGAATAGAAAAACTTTCTTTGATCAATTTTGTGGAATTTTTATTTGATTATCTATCGGAAGTCTGTAGTGATTTATCAGCAGTTTGGTTTATAAAATCGGTTGTTTCTTGGCAAATCTTTTGCTTTATTTTACCTGCAAGTCTGTGTAGGTGTAGGGATAGCAGTGAGCAAGATAAACCGTGTCCTGATCATGTGGGAATGTTATATTGAATGTTAGAGTATGTTTTTCCTTTTCTTCATCCCTGAAAAAAAAACTGATGATTTCCAAAAGGCATGATATCTCGAAAACGCTCGATTGCAGAGAAAAATGTCATTCGTTTTTGTTTCTAGCTTATGAAATTTTCAATAAAAAATGTTTAGGTGAATTTTCTATTAAAGCCATTTGTTCTCGAGATATCAGGACTGGTAGTTGAAACAGAAAATGAATAGAGAATTCTTTCATTTCCTCCTCCTCCTAAACGTCACGATATCTCGAAAACGGTTGATTTCACGGAAAAATGTCATCCGTTTTCCTTTCTAGCTTATGAAATTTCCAATAAAAAATGTCTAGTCGAATTTTCTATTAAAGCCATTTGTTCTCGAG